TGGGGGTTGGCCTGTCTCATCCTTAGTTCTTTCCCTCACTGATGCCTCCTTGGGGGACGCATCCCAACCACACTGGCATGTTCCAGCTGGGCAGCCAGCGGCTTTCCTCCTTCGCTCCCTCCCACACCACATCCCATGCCAAGACCGATGGCCGGGCTGGGGCGCAGGGGACAGGCAGGACGCAAGAGGCAGGCGACGCAGTATTTACAGTCTTTGGTCTCGGGGAAGGGAGAGAAAGAGGTGGAAAGTGTGGGGTTTTCCTTTGTTTTTTGTACCACTCCCGCCCACGGCGAGGGGTTTTATCCCCTGGGATGTGTTGGGGAGCACAAGGCGCTCTGTGCTGGAGGGTGCAGGAAGATGCCACAAAGCAGCAGGGAGGGCAGGGTCACAGGGCGAGGAGCAAAAAAGACCAGTTCTCTGGCTTACGTTGGGTGAAAGACTATAGGAAAGCAGTCCCTTCTCCTTGCAACCCCCCCACCGCCCTTCCCCTCCCATTATCCCTCCCCTCCCCAGGAGCTGGGCAGCAGGGGAAGGAGGGCAGCACACAGGACCCAACCCCAGTCTCTTCCAGAGCCTAAAGAGACACGCTGAAACCCATGTAAAATCCAGCACTGGGGCCACAGCAAGCCACCTCCAGCGAGCAGGATCACGTCTGTCTACTGGCTCCGCAGGGCATGCGCTCCCCGGTCCTCCTGCTCATGGGCTGTGTAGAAGAGGTGGCACTCAGGGTCCCCACGGATGGTGGGTGCACCCTGGATCACCTTCCCATGGATGGGGTCCACGCACCAGCACTCGCCACGCTGCCCATTCACGGACATCTTGCACTGCATAGAGAGGGAGAGGGCAGGCATCAGCTGAGGAAATTGGGGGACAAAACCCTCTTTCCAGCCCCACAAACCCAAAGTCCAAACACAGGCAGAGCTGGGGTTTCTCCAGCAACTTGGTGCTAGTTTGGATTTAGGCAAGATTCAGGGATGCTGCACTTGGACACCCCAGGGTCTGTGCTGCACCAGCATCACTGCTCCAAGGGTCCAGGCTGACGGCTGGACCTCTTCCCCCAGGGGCTGTGTCAGGAACCAAAAAGTTGATTTTAATGAACCACAAGGATAACTGTCCCCGAGATGCGTCACCCTCTATCAGCTGTGGATGAAAGCACCCACACAGTCAAAAAATCCCTGCAGGAAGAGAGAGAAGACAGACTGACAGAGGGGCTGCATAAGCTTGATTTCACTTCCAAATTAGGCTAAACAAACCAAATGTGAGAGCAAGACCTCCATGGTCAGACCCAAACATGTGTTCCAACAGGGTCTCACTCTGTCCCAGCACAGAGGTAGGGACCATGGTGCATCCAGGCCTGGACTCTGCCCCCTCCACAGCCTAGTCTGGTCAGAGAGAAGTTTCTTGCCCTAATGATTATCATCCACCTCTTGCCCTAGCAGGGCTGCATGCACTTTGAACCTGATGCTCATCCCTCCATCCCCAGCAGCTACATCTTTGAACAGGACATAGTGGGAGACACAGAGGTTACTCCAGCAGGCTGGGCTCTGCGTGCACTCTATAGAGCTGAATTCAGACCGTTTTGTGCAGCTGGAGTGAGGCAAAAAAATGCAGCCTTGTTCATGGGAATAAAAAGTACAAAAAGAGAAGGGAACAAAAAGCCTCCTCAGGAGCAGAACGCATCCGGCACCCTCTGCCCAAGTGCTGGCCCATAGGAGGTAGGAGCAACTGGGAATGCTTTTATTGGCATCTGATTTCCAGAAAATGCAAAGGAGCTGATACTCAGCTCTAGAAACCCAGATGGAAGGAAATGAGTATTGCTTCACATTTGCCTTGTTTGCCCTTAGCCAGGGCAGGGTGGGGGGCAAGAAGAGAAAGCAATTTTTGCCCCCTCTCTTTTTTTCTGCAGCAGTGACCAGCATGTAACCCATCTGCACCCTCCAGTGCAGGCTGACTTGTTTCCCAGGCACAAGGAGCAGCACAAACTGTCTTTTCTTTTGTTGTACACAACACATTGCTGCATTGACCAGGCTCAGTCCCCAGACACAGCTCATCTCCTTACTGGGAATTTGCCAGCTCTGCTCCATGCACCCCTTTCACGTGTGCTCATGCTGAGGGATCCAGCCAGCCTGTGGGGCTCTTCAGGGGGAGGCAGGGGGTGAAGGTCCAGTCAGGACAGGGAGGAGAGAAGGGACGGAGGGAGATTATCTCAGACCATACTATTTATTTTTTTTTAATGCTGCTAATCAAGGGGTAGAAGTAGCCCTGAAAAAAAGGCTTCAGCATGAAAACAGCAGGTTTTCTGGGGTCCCCTCCAAGATTTCAGTTATGCATGGCTATAAGGGGGGCTCATATCCAGGTACTATTCACACGTGGCTGCCAGTTGACCCTGGACCCTGGTATTTTGCTGCCAAGAGGTTTTTCCTGGCATTTCTTTTCCCATGCCTCAGCCACTGACACCTGCTGGTTTTGCATGAATGAAGCCAAGAAGTCAAAATTCAGACATACATTAAGTCATTTGAGTCCTTTTGGGTCCTGTAAATACTTTCAGAAGGAAGCTGTACCCAAACCCCCACCTTGCCTGGAAGGAATCCCTCCTGGAGCTGTGGGATGAACCTCGATTTGTGGAGAAAAACTGGTAAAATGTGCTAGAAACCTTCCTGACCCCAGGAGAAGTGCTTTCTGCTTTGTCTGCAAGACTGGCCAGCATTCAGACCCTCTCCGCTTTTCCCCTGTAGTGGGGCCCAGCCAGGACAAGACCTGGCTCAAGGCACATGAAAATAATCCTAGGCAGATAAGGAGCTCTCACAGGGACAAAGGGGCTCTGAACTAAACTGATTCCCCATCTCTGGGCTGCCTGCAGCCACGTGTGGATATGGGTGTCATGTCTCCATTTGCTTGCCTGTGGCTGCAGATGCACCTGGGTGTTACTAAACCTGTCCGTGCCACATGCGACATTTGCTGTTTACCCCACACTTCACACCATGTGCATGACATCAGCCCACCCCTCAGCTGCTGCGTGCCCCCCTTGGCTGTGCATCGGGGGGGATGTGTTTTGAGCCGAGGGCAACTGCTGGGAGTACAGCCAGCCCTGGGAGTCTGGGTCTCCCCACTTGCCTGTTTGAGATTGTACAAGCCATGCTTGTCACAGTTGGGGATGTGGAGGGAGTAGAGGTGTTCCAGGGGACCTCGCTCATCTGGCAGCCGCATAGTGGAGATACGTTCCAGGACCTGATCCAGCTCCTGCTGACAAGGGGTCTGAAAAGAGCCCAGAAAGCAGAAAAACAAACAAAAAAAACACATCAGGACAATGGGACCATTCACAATGTCAACACTTTGGACAATGGAAACACCAGTAAGGATGAACACCTGTGTGCATGTGCAGGCACCCAAAGGCACATCCACACATGCCGATGTGCGGAGATACACATGGGGAGATGCACACATTTCTCCCACATGCCTCACATGCCCAAGAGCCAACATGACACCAGGTCACAGGTCCTGGTGACACAGGGGAGGAGAAGCCTCAGAGATGCTCCCATGGGTCCCACTGGTGGTAACAAGTGATGTGAAGCAGGACTAATCCAGACAGGCCAGGATGGTTTCCATAAGCATAGTCCAGATCCCACACCTGTGATGCAGTTTTGGCCTAGAAGTGCAACTCAAAGCATGTGGGACCCCATGGGAGTGGAGGGAAAGCCCCAGGAACGAGAGCACCCAGCAAAGCCAGCCTCAGTAGGCACCCCTCTTGCTCCACAGCAGCCCCAAGCCAGGGCTCCCAGCCAAGGCAGCCTGGTTGAATTACGCTTGATGTGAGCCGGAGTGAGCCCACACCTCTCTGCTTTTGTAGTTGCTGGGGTTTTATACAAAGGAGCAGCAGCAGTGTGGGAGCTCTCTAAGTTGATAGTGCCTGCACCTTATTTTGAACCTCTGCTTTTCCTGTTTCTTGGAAGGAGTGAGGACTCTTAAGGCCCCTTTCTTTTTGTCCCTGCACTCCTCGGATATAAATACTCTATATGTTTACAGGGCTATGTATTACAGACCTTTCAGGGTGGCTTTCCGTCCCATCTCGTTGCCTTGACCAATCTGCCCACTAGAGGGAAACCACGGCCAAGGACTGGAGAGCAGAGAGACGGGGACGGCGAAGAAGGGGACAGGGAGGACTTCGGGCACTCTCCCAGCTACGTGACAGCCCCACAGTCCATCCTCAGGGGCTCTGGGCCCCCCCCCAACCTGGACTGGGGCTGCCCTGCAGCAGGCAGACACCCTCCCACCCCCCAAATCCCCTTGCGCCTTGCTTAGGGAAAAAGGGTGTGAGAAAGCCGGTCGGGCAGGCAAAGGGCACGCTCGCACCCCTGCGGAGGTAGGTGTTGAGCCAGCGGGACCCCCCTTCTCCGGCTCTGCTGTCAGGAGGTGAAGCTGCAATGAAAATAACACCTCCTTGCCAGCACATCAAAGTTCATCAGATGGTGTGTTCAGCCCTAGCTTCAGGCCAAAACAAATGTTTGCTTTTCCTTTTTTTCCTCTCCCCCTCTCCCCCGTTTTTTCTTTTTCTTTTTTTCCCTTTTTAAGACAGTTTGTTGCAAATGTCACAATGTCACCAAGGCTTTTGCATTCAGCATTTCCCTGGTGAGCCTGCAGCTGCCTCCGTTAGCTCCCCGCACCCCTCTGCCCTCTCACCCTGCCCGCCGACAGCCGCGACTTCTTCGAGTCCTCGTGGTTGTGATGGGGCTTGCCGACTTTGCCCATCTGCCGCTGCTGCTCGTTCACCTTCTCCCTCATAACCGCCAGCTCCTTCATGCCCGTCTTCATGGGCTTCCTCCCGCCGGCTCCACTCAGGATCCCTGTGGTGCCATCCACATGGTTCTCGGCAAGGATGCTTTCGGACCGGTCATCGCCATTATCTGCAGAGGACAGGGCAGACAAGGAAAGGGTCAAGCTCAGCCAGGCGCTCTCTCACGTGTTCATCCCATCCTGGATCGCTTTCAAGCATGGCTGGTTACCAAGCCATAAAATCTTTCCATGCAAAAATTTTAAATTGCATTAGCCCTTTCATCTGGAAGGTGAGAATAGATCCTTTCATTCTGGAGTTATTACCACACTAAAAGACAGTTTAGAGAGCAGGGGAAATCGCTGCTGGAGAAGTTCTTTCTCGTTTTTCTTTGACCTTCTAAATTACTTCCCAAAGAATGTAATTTTCCCATCAGAAGTCCAGTTGGGTTAGGAATGCCAAGTGTACTTCGGCTCCAAAACTTAAAACCACAGTGATTAGTAAAATACCTTGAGTCCATCTATCATCCCCCAGAGTATCTCCAGGAATACTTACTCAATATTAGTGTGCTAAAATAAATTCTCAGGCCTGCTTTCAAAAATACCTTGCCTCTGTTTTATGGCCACCCTAATTTCCCTCAGAGATCCTACCATTTCAGTGATTGTCCTCGCCATATTGTCTTTCACATCATTTGTCATACAGTGCATTACTCATTTATCCTCCCTGCTTCTGCATTTGGCCACTTCTGATGCCCCACATGTCCTGGGCCTAACTCTGCCACTGCTGCAAGCTGCAAGACCCCCAGCCAGTTCAGCCATTTCAAAACCAGTTTGCAGAAATCTGGGGATAATCACTGGACTTGTTCCACCTCCTCCACTCTCTGCTTTGTGTGGTTTGCCAGTTCACTGGGTGCCATTTCTGAGAGCAATCCTTGCCAAAGCAGGACACAACGGTCACAATGCCGCAGACACCAGTCCCTTTGGACTTCACGGTGACAATGAGGACAGATCTCCAGAAGCCCAGAAAGTGACAGCTGAGCCCTCCTTGGTGCCTGGTCTGGCTGAGCAAGCATGTCTAACTGTAGCTGGATCTAACATTGAAGCTGGCCCTGCCCCAAGCAGGGGCTTGGACCAAGACCTCCTGAGGTCCTTTCCAGCCCAGATTATGGTTCAACCTACGCACACACATCACCTCTCACTGCAATAACCCAGACTAAGTACATCTCTGTATGTACAAGTTCTTCAGCAGCTCCACAGGTCCCACAACAGGGACAGACCAGGCCGCTCTGATTCTACAGTGGTGACAAACATGAAGTGTCTTTTAGCATATGCCAAGGAGGAACTGTAGCACCCAGCCTCCCAACATCAGCATTCTCTCCAGCACCTCTGATTTCAGCCCTCCAGAACTGAGGCACTTACATAGAAGTGAAGAAATCACATCAAACTGTGCACAATGGAGAGCAAGCAATGCTTTAGCTCATGTCACAATGCTTAATTTATGGATCTCTCCTGCTTCTTGGAAGACCAAGCACGCAGAGCATTGACAGATTTTAACATTTCCTTTTTTTCAGAAGCTGCATCATGACGTTTTGTCAGAGCATAGCTCTACTGTCATGACAGAGAGTGAAAAATCATAATAGCAAGTGTTTTATTTCTGCCACAGCTTTCCAAGCTCTTTTCAGGTGTGACAACCCCAGGTTCACACAGGGGAAACTGTAAGAAGAGTTTTGTTTGAACTTACTCAGCAAACATGCGGCTGCCTGCAGACCGATGGTAAGAGAATGGACCAAGTGGGCTGGATCACAGAGCCACCCCAGCCCAGCACACCATCCATGGGAGACCATCAGCAGCTGCTTGGGGACACACGCCAGAAGGACCATTCCCAATCTGTGCTGCAGACCAGCAGTAAAAGCACTTTCATGGTTGGAGACTGCATCTGACCCAGAGGATTTAAAAGTCACTGACAGACCCATCCCTCGATGGATTTGTCCAATATCCTTTTGAACTTCCTCACCATTTTGGCCTCAGATCTCCCAATACTGGGATCGTCCCACTTCCCAGAAATACTAAATGCATTTGGTCTGCAGGTTTTTAGCTGCTTAGGTAGCAACTGAAAAGCAAACACGGGGCAAAACCAATCTGGCAAAGTTCATGACTTTCCTCAATACTGGTTCCAGATGAAAACTGGGACCAGGTTTGATAGCCAGATGGGCGAGCTCAAAGTCTGGGCTGCTGCCTGGCAATTGCCATCTGGCTGTCATCCTAGGAGCCGGACAAGGAATATTTTGAGCAGGAATCTTCTGTTTATACAACAGTCTCCCCGTTAATTAGAAACACATAGTGAGAAGAGAGAAGGCCATGAGGCCGCCCTTCAGACAGGATCAAATGAAAAAGCACCGTGCAAGAGACGGGCAAGACCGGCCAGGCTCTGATCCTCAATGAGCTTCTTAAGGGGGTTTTAGCCTTCCAACAGGCTTTTGTGCTCTTCTCCTTGGTGTCCCACCGAGCTCTCAACAGCAGAACAAGTGCAGCAGCAGGGCAGCATCTCAGACACATTGCAGTCCCCTGCTTCATTCAGAAAACTGATGGTACAAACTGACAGAAAAGCAGTAAACTGGAAGTGGTGCCTTCCCCCATCGATTCTCACTCCTTCCTGCCTCCAACTAAAATATATAGACATCTGCCCAAATAAGCACTGTGCTAGTAAACGAAGGCGAGCTGGTAAGCCTCTTGTCGGCTGATTTATTCACAAAACCTGCTTCTGATAATATTTTCACTCATTTTTCCCACTTTCCAATGCTAACAAATATCAGCCCAAAGAAAACCACCGATGGGAGCAGAGCGTGCAAGCCCTTGTGCATGAACACACCCAGGGACAGGAGAGATTGGTCTTGGCTCCCCAGGCACCATCACAGGAGCAAGCCTGGAGTAGAGGCTGGGAAGGTCTAGCTGCTATCAACTGCAAGCTGTACCATCACCTTGCCACTGAGCTGGCTTGATCCACATGGGGCTAATGGCAAAGCCCCATCACAGCTTTTCCCCTCTCCCAACCCCAGTGCTGCTCTTAAGTAGGAGCTCTCCTGACCTGGGGCTTGCACGGATGGCTCAATCACTGGGGAAGAGAGACAGGACAGAAGAAGTTGGCCCCATGTGCAAAGCACCCGGATTTCCTTTACAGACAAGCTGCATGCACAGGAGGAGGCTGAGCATCAGGTGTGATGGACCACATTTCAAAGAGCAAATGGACCAGATAGCAACAACCGACGACTGGAGACATCAAGCCTCGAGGTTGGGAGAAAACAGAGCATGCCGTGAGCCAAACAATGCTTTTTACAGCCAGCTAATGCTTTTTAACACTGCCCAAAAGAAGCAAATTGTGCGTGCTTGCTTATGACTATACATGAATCAATTAAGCCACCCATCAACCCTACTGCAATGGGATGGGCAGGTATGCAATTGCCTCAGATATACAACCCTAATTCATTTGTCATCCTGGCAAACGCCCTTTTGCTGCCCAATTTCAATTCACGCTAAATATATCTGTGAACGGACTGGTGCCAAACTCCAAAACAAGTTTTATAGTTCTTCCATTTTCCTATGGCATGTGGAAAACATCTCCTGTGCTATTTTGGATCAAAAGGTAGAGAGCACTTTGTGCAGGGTGGGACAAGTGTGGCAGGAATCAAAGCAGATAGCTGAAGTTCTCCTGAACACTGATGTGGAGCCCATGAAACACCTCTCTCCATGCCAAGAAAATGATTTCTTTATGGCCTTTTTCAAGGAAAATTCCCATTTGCTTCAATGGGGCGAGGACTTGGCTGAGGTAAAAGCATGTTCAAATGGCCATCAGCTAACGTCTGTAGGGAGCTGCACAGTCTTGCCAACAGTTTCAAAAGCGGCTACCAATTTCCAGTGCTGAAATTTTTGGGAATCTGATTTGAGACCTCTAGGCACCTCCACTGAGACGGCTGAGAAACAGAGGGGCTTAAAAACAACCTGCCACTTCCAGAGCTAGAAGATGAAAAAAGCACCACACAAACAAAGGCAGCTGCCTGAAGTTAAAAATACATCTTTATCCCTTTGAAGAGCCCTGAAGCGTATCTGGGCTGCGGGACGGGATTGAGCCAGTAGCACTCACTTAGCACGAGAGGGCCAGCCTGTATCACGGGGAACACGCACCATGCCAAGGACCAGAGCCACCCTCTCCATCGCTGCTCTCTCTCTCTCTCTGTGCTACTTTTCCTTTGACAACAGCTTGCCCACAGGGTTTCACATGCATTTGTTTATCTGTCCGGAATGTTTGCATAGTGTTAAACTACTGATTAAGGTCCCAGACCCACATAAAGTTTCACCCAAGTGGCCTTCAACAACCTGCCTGGAGCCCTGCTAGACTCTGGTCCCAGCTATGTCCCAGGCTAGACAGGGCTTACATCTCCCTCCTGCAGCAATCACAGCCTCCCTTAGCCAGCACTTTCCCTCTGAAAACATCAAAGTGCTTCGCAGTTCATTAATTACCCTCGAGAGGTGTTCATCCTGGGTTGCACACAGTAAAAAATACAGGCACAAAAAAACTTGAGAGTGTTGCCCAAAGCCACACAGGGAATCGATGAGCGAACCCAGGAACCTGCGCTCCTGCCCTGGCACTGCACCGTGCACAGGACCGACAGCACTTGGGGCTGCAGGAACGCAGCATCCAGAAAGTGATTTTTCACACTGAGCAGTCTTGCATGTCTCATCTAGTTTTTGGGGGTTGTTTTTCCTTCCACTTTTAGTCTCTTGTGGCCACAAGTTCTACCGTTTTAGGATAATTTAAGTGCCTGTTCTGGGTTTTACTTGTCACTTTTTATTTCAAGGAGCAGACCTGTCTGTCCCAGGCTGCCAGGAGCCCAGCACTTCTCTTTCACAGCCTGAGAGCAGACAGGGCCTTTAAACCTGACCTTTAATATGTACAACAGCCATGGCCAGAGAATTACTTGCAGAAAGGTGGGGAAGGAGCAGACAAACCCCGACCTCAGTCCTGGTGACCTCTGCCTCATCAGTCTCCAAAGTATTTCTAGGAGAGCCCTGGGCAAAGGTTCCTGTGCAATAGCTCTGCTGTGGGTGTTGTTGACCTGGAGCTCTGATACCTCTGA